GAACCCCCATTCCCTATACTACTTGGAACTGATATTAACGGCGCCTGCAAGCCATGAGAAAACCGAAATTAAGCTTAAGTCTGATGCTTTGTACGCGATTAGTATTTCAAGAACGTCGATGACCATGCGATATAGAAGTGTTTCAAAGGGTTTTGTCATTTTCAAATAAGAATCCTTAATTTGTTTGGAACACAATGGAGGAAATCTCATCATGTCTAAGCTGATTAAATTAGGGCCGCACCCATGTCACACCCTGGCTTTTGTCTTCAAATTCTCAAACGAAATGTTTTTGAAATTTGTGAAATAGCGAAGTGACTAAAGTTCGCGTTACGTTCAGGGGATCTACAATAGCTATGAGTTGCAACGGGCTAACCACACAGTATTAAAGGCGAGCTAGACATTATAGTTTACATTTCTACTGCAGTATAATGATTGCATATTGTACCAAGGGAAAGGGGTGCCTTGGTTTCAAGAGACAAGAGGACTTGGTGGTTTCAGAAGGGAGAGGGAATTTTGAACTGCTTTGAGCTGTCTAGACATGTATCTTGAACATCAAGCGAGTTTCATCCTTTCCTATTGATAGAGTGCTTTCGGTCTCACTGTTGAATTGAGGGGTCTATAATTTCTTATATAACGCTGTAAAGCCGGCTATGAGTCATCCTCTGCCCATGGAAGCAGGGATAGGCTTCCCTATTTACGGGAAATTTGGAATCACGATTATAAAATACAAACATGTTGTTATACAGGCAGTAGAAAAAGATGCTAGAATATTTTTTCATCCTCAAAAACCACACCCTGTAATCAAAAATTGACAAAACGCCAAATTTTTCTTTTCTTTCTTTCAGTTTTCTTCTTTTTCTTCTTTTTGAGAGGAGAAAGACAACAGCGTAGTTCGTACGATTCCTACAATAAGGTGATGATTTCAAGGTCAAATGCCACTCCTTCGTGCCGGCGATGGGGGGGGGGTCTCTACACCAATTAGCCTTTAATCTAATTTCTGTCGTTGGTCACCCTGTGTAAGTAAATTTCCGCTGGCTTCTTATTTCTCAAATCGCGGAAGCCTCGGAAGCCTCCACATGTGGAGGCAAAACTTGTGAACTTCGCAAACAAACTTCCAATAAAATGAGCTCAAAACTAGCACTTTATGGCTAACTTCTCACGTTCACAACTTGAAAATGAGTTCTACCACCAAGCAGCTTTTTCCTTTGAGCATGGGAAGGAAGCGTGTTGGGCTTTTGTTGAGTCCAAAGAAGAAACGTAAGAGTGTCTTTGACTCCTTCATCGAGTTGTGTAGGTAAGTTTAGAACAACTGCGACTCACTTCCTGACGTTAATACTTTCATTTTATCCTTACTCCTTAACTAAATAGTAAACATCTTCTTGATGAGGTTAGCATTATAGATTTCTTATTGGAATTTTATCTTGTTTTCCAGCGAGACTGGCATCGAACTCATTGAAGTGAGTAGATCTTTGTATTTAGTCACGTATTTTGTAATATTGGGGTGTGGATAAACAATTGATCAAAAACAACGAAGAATACTCGAAAAAATGCTCATAGCTGAAGCCAAAAATTCTAAAATCTTTACATATTTTATTAATCACTCGTTTATTTACATAAACATAAGACAAGTTGAGAAAATAATAAGATTCTTAATTTTTACACGACGTCTACTATAAAAAGCAATCTTGAACATATCGATCATGCCTAATAAAGGAATGTCGAATCATCGATAGTCCACAGTCAGTCTTATATTATTATTAATATTTCAAATTTATTTATTTTTCAAATCGGGAAATTTCCATTTTGAAATCTTCGCTATTCGTTGCTGTTTGTAGATCGCTCGTATTTTTGTTTACGTTCTGTGGAAAAAATATTATGACCTATATTTTTGTTACTTTTCGTGTGTGGAATTTCTAAAACATTTGCGTGTTGCTTATAGATAATAGAAGAATGATAGTAGTTCTTGTCTGTGACGATAGCCTTTTGGTATTTCTTTTCCAAAACTGATTTAATCATTCTTTTTCCGTTTAACAAACGTTAATTTGCATTTTGAATATCTCAATTCATAATTGTTTTTGTTTTGCTAAACTACACAGTTTGCTGTAGTGAGAAAGCATCATCCAATCTATTTTTGAAAGAGCTGAATGTATACAGTAGAGGTCTTACTGGCTTTCACTTAAGCTTACGTGTATTTTTAATTAAAACCTTTTTCCAGCTTCAATTTAAAATTGGTTTTCATAATAATAGTAGATTCAACTTCAGAATACCTGACCATGCACTTTATTTAAGGCTGCATTCATAATGTATGGCAGAGGGGGGGCAGGTGAAATTTAGGGGG